ATACATGGTATGAAGCCCACCTTCGCAATTCCTTCACATCTTCTCTAGAGGCTCCTAAATTCCACCTCAGTGAGGCACCCCCGATCCAAAAGGAATGGCTGTGAAGCAATTGTTTTGATTTAGGACGTTTTGAATTCCATATAGTACGTAGCCTTCTGATAGTATCTTGTTTACCAAGTCTCTTCCTTTTGCCTTCAACCATCACTGAGAAAATTTCTTTGCTCGGCTTTCTAGGTCACATAGCATACCAATCTTGTAACAATGAGACTGGATCCAATAAAGAGTTTTGGCGATGTAGAACGAAAGACTGAACTTTGCCGGGACCCGCGGTTTTAGCGTTGTGTAAATTTATCTTCACCCACGACTTATCTTTGGCCCACTCAACATCATCCCATCTTGGTAACCGTTTCTTTGGATCATCTGAGATAAGTTCTCCCAGCCTTGCGGTTCCCCAAAAGGTGATCAACAACACCGTTAACCTAGCTATTCCTACTTCACCTTGATGTGGTAAGACTTCCAATAAGATGACTAGGTCTTCTAATAGTACCGGCGGTCTTTTATTTTCTACTAAATTGAATTGAGCTTCTATCATTCTTGAGGCTTTCGATAACGTCTTCACCGCATCATCTACCATTCTCAGGTACTCTACATCATGAAAGAGATGCCACGCTTTGATGCCTGCTATATAGGCTTTCAACATCCAATACTTCACTGACTTGTCATTTATTGCTTGTTCTACACTACGTTTTGAACCCCAAACTACAAACTGTTTGAATACTCTTGGACATATTGGTAAAAGCTTCTCCTTGGGAATATTTTTCACTGTTACGAAAAGCAGAAGTTTCACGACTCCTGAGTTGTAACTTTTCAAAGTACCATCACCCCAAGCTCCTCGTAAGTAATGTTGTTTTACTTCATCTTCCTCAGAATTTTCCACTCCTAACGTGTTTTTCTTGAACGCCCCAAATGGATTAGTAACTTTCTTCATCTCCGTCAAACTTGGTATCTTGTTCATGTTCAATCTCTTAATAAAAACTGAATCATAACCAGTCATCATCAGGATTGATGCAAGTTCTGGTCTGCACATATCAAAGGTGAGCTTGCTTACTATTTTGGATGCTCTACACCGGTCGAGGCTTCTGTATTTATTTTTGGGGGGAAAACTTGTTTGAGAATATACTGAAGGTCTTGTGGGACACCCACCCTTACTTCTTCCCACCAATTCAATGTCCCCAGATAACCCCTCAAGAGAGCATCTGCATCATTTCCTTTCGACGATACACGTTTTGCTTTGGTGTTGCAAGCTAATAAAGTGAGCAGCCTCTGTATGTGTTTCCACTCCTTGTTCACCCACTCATCCTTTGATTTATGTTTTCTAACGGCTGACTGAGACGTGGTATTATCCGTCCAGACGGCAAACTTCATTCCTAAAGCAGAAAGGATTGCCCTGTTAGTATCTCCACTCGAATTCAGTTTTGGAATCACTAACCTCCTACGTGTCTCAACTTGCTCAGTACTACTAAACCAAGCCTTATCGCAATGATTTCTGCCCACGCAATGGACCGTTTGCCCTCTAACAAGTTTAGAGTCTGCCAACCTTTAGCAAACTCGAAACATGCCCAATGTCTGCCAATCAGAACTCCAATGCCAAAGGATGATGACGCATCTCCTACCCAAGCCACTTCCATCGCCTTGATTGAGGGAATTAATGCTCGTGAGTTAAACGAAAATAAACATCTTCTCCATTCGTCTAAATCTGGCTTCACATACTCTGGAACATGTCGTAAGGCCGCCTTATTGACCCACTCTTTCAACCACTTGTAGAACGATCACATATAAGCTTTCATATGAGGTACTATATGAACCATATGGACCAATTTACCAATTAAACTTTCAATTGTATTAAAAGCCCAAGGATCTGTTTTTGTGAGCAGATCTATTATTAATTGTTTTCTTTCGCACAATTTCTCATCTGGAAGTCTAACTGTATGTTCTTTTCCGTTCCATATGAACCCAATGTACTGTTGCTCTGTCGCAAATTCATGATTTTTCACTGGATTTTTTTGAATGCCTGAACTATTACTAAGAGTGGTAACATTTTCTAATGTTGCCCAATGACCCGGACGGCGGAAGATCAAGTTATCATTGACCCACCAAAAAATCCTTGGAAATTGTAAGATATGTTCAATAATAATTTTCCACACGTGTGCAGGAGCTCCAAAAACACCACAACTTGCCACACCTCCAAAACCAACGGCCAAATCAACCCATATCCTTCCTAAGAAATCTATTATGCATAAAAATCGCCTTTGGCTGGGGTGTAGAGGTAGTTTGATAGGCTTTTTGCCAATCAAAGATGGCCAATTCCCATTCACCCAAATTGTTTTGGAAGAATAAAGCTACTTTATCAAAATCATCCCAGTATGTGCCATAATTCAATTTATTTACAAAAGAGTTGACCAATGGTACTCCTGCTTCTTTCGTTGGATAAGATAGATCATTCACCATTCTAATCAAACCATCACCATTCACTGCGCTCCCCATTGGATTTGTTCTGGAGAACCCAAATTGTTGAAAAACTTCTTGGTGAGTGAATGGGTCTGCTATCCTCCCGGCTTTCAGTTCTTTTATTAATGTTATCTCTATTTGATCCTTTGCCAGGATTGCTGATCTATGATTTTGAGGCGTGTACCACTTCTTGCATTCGATGGTATGTTGAGGTATGCCCAGGCAGAAACCATTTCAAAATCCATCAGTGATATATGGTATATCTTTTTCTAAACCTACTTCTAACATCATTTCCGCCCATTCTGCTACTACCATCTTGCATGACACTGGAGCTGGCCACATGTTTTGTACCGGCACCGTAAAAATTTTCCTTTGCCAGAAGGGAATAGGCTCTTTTGACTTATTTGACAATATTTCTTCTTCCGATTCACTTGAAATTGACTCTGAAGGTTTGTCTGTTCCTTCATTTCTAATCTCAAGCATAACCTCATTCTCACACCAAACCTTATGCAACAAGGGATCCCTGTAATGGTAAGATTACCAAACCATCCAGACATATTTTAGAATATCTCATCTTAATCTATTGATTACCACATAATCATGAAGAGCATTTTATAGAGAACTACGAAGTACTGCGTACCACAACAAGATAACAGCAACAATTGAATGTAAAACAAGATCACACAATTTGAAAAATAGCGCCAAAGCAACATGATTCATTTCAGCCGAGCGTAATAACCAAATCCCACCATAGTCAAGGAAAACGAATAAATTCTACACGTCAGTCATGCTCTATTCCCTATCCTTTCTATACATCAAGGAACTCCCACTCACGTATTTTGTGTCTCACTTGGTTTCTGAGTTGCAGGAGTTGCAGCTTGTTTGGGATTTTTATTGGCATACCAAGGTTTAAGAGCTTGTGTCGGAAATGACGAGGTTGACGCTCGTTGGGAATCACCTAGAATGAATGCAGTGCAGTCAAAGACATTCTCTTGGTTAGACTTCTGGGTTATCTACCAGGACTGGGCGGAAAAAGGTTCTTTGAATAAGGAAGCCAGGTAATCTTCAAATGGACTAACCAGTTTGATTTTCTCCATTTCCACTCTTGTGATAGCGATTTGGATATGTCTTCTTGACATAGTGTTTCTTATTCCCACCACCTCTTTTACCACAATGGTGAGATGCACCGGAGTCTACCGTTTTTTTACTAACCGATGGAGTGGGAGTCACAACCAACTGTCTACCAGTCGAGAAACTATATCCAAATTTCGGTCCCCCTGGTGCATAAGGATTATCAATGTATTGTAAGTCACCAGCTCTATCAGCTTGAAATCTAGCTTTTTTGACTGTTGATGCTTGAACCCCGTTTGGGATCTTCACTGTGTCTCTGATAACTGTCTTTCCCTTGACTTTAGACTTGATCAACTTCCTTCTTCAAAAAATGACGGTCCTGATTTTCAAGTGATACCTTAGGCCAATCATCCAACAATTATAAGTTTTCTTCAAATTGGAGACGATCTTCTTATGCTTTACAACATAGTCTGCATATGTATCTAGGCCATAGATCTCCCTAGCGCATCACTCTTCCAAATCACACCGCTCTATGAAGTCACCATAAGTAAGTTGCTTCTCCAAAGCTTCAAGCAAGGTTTTTGACATTTCTAAGTTCTTCTTATCCTTGTCCTTCACTTCATCATCTTCATCATGATAGCTTTCTAAAAGAGCAGCATTAAATAAAGTTAAAGGTACATAGGCGCGTAATTTTCTAAAACCTTTATCCCATTTATTTGGTAGGTCCGGAAGATCTGCAGATTTGAAAGCTGAGACGTCATAACCAAGTTCAGCTTTTTTGACTTCTTCTGCATTGTCTGAAGAATCAATGTCTGAATCATCAGAGGAATCGGACAAAGAGGATGGGGAATCCTCTGGGGCTGGAGACTTCAACTTGGATCTCTTTTTCTTCTTTTTCTTCGGCTTCGAAGCTTCTGAATCGTCTGAGGACGTGATAGTCTTTTTCTTTTTGACCTTAGGCTTGGGTTCTGGAAAGATTGAGTCATTTGAGGATGAAGACAAGTCATCACTAGGATTCTCTTGATTCTTAGCCTTGCGTTTCTTCTTTTTCCCTCTAGTTTGTTTCACCTCCAGTACTCCTTGAGAAGGTAGGTCAGGAGTGTCTTTCTGTTTCGTACCTCCAGAAATTGAGGCTAACAGATGACTCAAATCTTCCACATTTGTAGATAATTGACCTACTTGCTGAGTAGCACCAGAAGTACCCTTATTTTTCGGCTTTGGGTTCCAGTCATTGTACGCCATTGATACCATTTGACCAAAGGAGTCATCGAACTCCGTGACTAACCTCCTGGCTTTGTTGCCATTCTTTGCATCAAGTGCTCTAGTCAACGCTTCTAGGATAGCTTTACTTCCTGAGTTCCCAGTACCATGAGTTCATGGAAGGCTACATGACGGTAAAACCAACAAAATGGAAGCCAAACGTAAGTATCTGAACATTTTTAAGACTTTGAACAGAAAATTTCATCAAGATCTCATCGACCGATATTCTTTCAATAGTGTGCATGGCAGATTTCACAATTCCAACCAAACCGCGCCTCAGCAGTGTTATCTTGTCTTTAAGAACCAAATCGCGCCTCAGCAGCGTTCTCTACATCCGATTATCAACGACAATCTCAGAGCATTGCGCACTAGTCGCATAGACAATAGGTACAAAGACCACTTCATCTTATAATTGGGCGCATAAAGCTGCACGTGACTTATGGCGCGAAATGCGGCCTGCAGTCCCTTACAATCACCATCAATTAGCGCTCTTGGCAGCTTATGGATCCTGACAGAGGGAAGAAGACCTACTGATAGGAATTGTCTCTAACAGAGAATCAAAAAAGATTAAGAAAAATTATATAAATAAATATAACCCACCATCAATTGGGACTCCAGGGGTATCATCTCCATCCTTTCCAAGTTGAGTCTCTCTACGCTGAGATTCTTCAATTCTGATCCTCTCTTTTTCTCGTCTTTGTTCTAACTTTTCTAATTCCTTCTTCTTCAATTCCAAAGGTTTCACATCCTCTGTATCAGACTCCGTATCTCCATCATTGCTGCTTCCATCTTCTTCTTTGCTTTAAACTCCTTTAACGTCACCAGGGCCTTGACCTTCTTTGCTAAGTGCATTGAGACTATCATTTTTCCAAGGATTATAGCTTGTGCTTTGTTGATCCTGATTATCTCCAAGAACTTGAGTGTCCCCTGGGATTGCAACCTGATCTTTGACAACATTTGACTTCGGCATCCTAGACAATGCTCTTTGTGTTCTTCTTTCTGCCTGTTCTTGTACTTTGGATAATTTAGCGAGTCTATTCTTGTTTGCTGATAAAGTGTCCTTTTGATTTTTATTCATTCAGAATGATAAATTGGTGAGGATGTGGGAGAGTAAGAGTTTTAGAGATTGTCTAGAGAGAAAATTGTAACGCAAAAAGTTTTTATTTTTGAATGCTACATGCTGAGTGATCAAGAAAATAAAAAGACAGACGAGTTTCCGATGAGGTGAAGGAAAAGGGAAGGGATGGAATGTCTAGAGAAGAGGATTTTTTTTTCTCGTGCTTGAAACTCTAAGCCACTCCTCTCTAGTATTCTGGCCCTGGCCTTGTTTGGACTTTTCACCTCACGGGATTACTTGTCCACCCTCAGTAATGGACTACAGATTACCGTTACAGGCTTGGGGTAATCTCTCAATCCCTTCTCTTTTTAGTCACACACTTAAATAAGTGGATCCTGGATTGTTGCACAACACTTTTCGTGGTCTACAATCTATTCTTTCAGGACCATTGGTTACTTCTGGATTTTTCACTGCACCAGTCACTCAACTTCAAGTATCTTTGATTTTGGACAGGCTTGGTCAAGGACTTAGTGTGTTTCCAGGATTTGATGTTGATATGGTGAGAACCCAACATTCATGTCCTCCAGAACATGGGCCTTACAATTGTTGACTGAGGCGTTCAAGTACTCAAACAGTATGGGCAAATGCTCCTCCTACATCTCCTTCAACTGGTTGAAATACCATTATGAGGCCGAACTCAAATTCTATTATGATATCATTAAATTATTTGAAGCTTATTTGCAGTTTTACAACAGTGTTGTCATCTCTTGTATCATTCGGACAAAAAACCGTCCTGTCCTTTCTTGATATTATTCTTTTTTATTGAATTGCAGATCGATTTTTGCACAAACCACTCATTCATTCATACTTCATTGTAAGAAGCAGAGTCAGATACCTTTTTTGCAGAAGGCAGACATCACCATTGACGTGATTACTCGAGTTTGATGTTTGTACCTACTGTACACAATAAGACCATATTATCCAATAAAATACATATTGAGAAAAGGGCCCAACAGACCAAAGATTCAGCCATTATACGCATCTGTGCCTATGCCTGCGTTTCAATAAAGGTACAGTCGTTTTCAAAAAGAATGAAATCAAGGCCCTTCAAAAACTGAGAGGTGGACCGTGCACCACCTGTGAAAGGTACCCAGCTTACATACCAGATTGAGCATTTTACGGTATTGAGTAGGATTTCCAGCCACAACACCTCATTCTTTGGTGGCGCAGTGGTAAGATGGCATGGTATGTCGCTGGCGGTCTTGTGTTTGACTCGGTGTGCCTCTTTTAAATGCCATTATTTTTGTCTTGACGTACTGATAGAGCGAAAAGAATTATACAAAGCAAACAATGATAGTTAAGCAAGTCAATTGTTTTGTTTTACGATGACGAGCAGATTGAATAACAAAAACTTGTCAAAATGCGTGATGAGAAAAAGGCAAGCCAGTCCGGCTCAAACTCAAAAAAGAGAGTCACCTCGAGAGATGTACGACCAAGCGGAACGGCCCGCGGGCGCGCTCAACCAACTGTGCCACAGTCATTTTACAATGAGCCGTGGTTGACCTTTGACAACAGCATTTTTGTATGCAAATTTGACACCTTTCACAGGTGGCGCACGGTCCACCTCTCAGTTTTTGAAGCGCCTCGATTTCATTCTTTTTGAAAACGACTGTATGTACTTAAAGGGCATCCAAGCCCAAGGGTTCTCGACCTAGAAGATACACATTCTTACATTTCCATACTTTGCGGACTGGCCTCACCCTCACGTATTCAGGTCCTTGACTCATGTATTGACTTGAACATGGATAATGTGATTTACATCAAAAGGTGATTGAATGTTTGCGATGTAACTTCTTGATTTAAGATGTTGCAATGACAAAACAGAATAAATTGATTGATGAATTTGGTTCAGAGTGATGCGATTGACTGATGTCGCATACCCGAAGCCCTTGTCGCAGCGCAAAACCCGGTGTCGCATGCCAAATATACACATGTAACGAATCGGGGCCAATGCAGCGACAAACTGTCGCAACCGTGGTAGCGACGGGCTTTTGCCCACGTCAGTTCTGGTTAAATTTCTTCGCACCGGTGCGGCAGATGTTGAAAAATCCGCGCCCATCACCTGAATCTGCTCCCAAGCAAAATCCTCAACCCCCAAATACTACCAAGACCTTATAAAAATTATCAAAGTCCACAAAACCAATAATCTTTTTTTTGCAATTTATTCAAGACATGAAAAACTTTTAAAAAACAATAGCACATTGCGAGACACTGTTGCAAGAAGATTTTTTGAGACTTTTATAATAGTAAATCAGAACACAATCAAAAAAGAAACAAACTAAATAATATTCAACATAATGTTCTGCAAACTTCTTTCCAGTTACAGAGATCATACGAATTTCATAGTCTCATTCACGAGTGATTGATTGATAAAAAAAGCATTTCCAGATTTTTCGTGAGGGTTTGTCGTATCTTCGTAGTTTGTGTTTTGGTATTCAATACAAAGGAAGGAGATCGTAAAAAGGGAAGCCTTTTAAAGTTTACTATGACGTTCGTACTGATAAAATATTAGAATGTATCATTAGCTTTCATATCTAAGCTTTCTGGCAAACAATCAAAGAAAGATTTACTCGGATCACCCGATCGAAAGCTTGAATTAAATCATTTTTAAGGTCATGAAAGTCTTCTAAGCCAATACTGAGACGAACTAATGAGGGCAACGGAATAAATTAGTGATTTAAAGTGACATAATCGAAATCATTCTTGAGATTTTGAGGATTTTCAGCTCACCTATTCTTGGATCGCAAGTTGGATCAGCTGTAGCCTGTTGTTGAATCAAGGATTCGACTCCACCAAAAGAAGTAGCCGGCTGAAAAAAGATCATCACACATAATTCGACATATCAGTATGATTTGTCTAAAAAAGAATCACAATCAGATGAACATTAAGAATTAAAAATTTACCACGAAGATTTTAGTAAGATGAGGTAACCATTTAGCAAAGATTGGTCTTTCGAGCATAAAAGCAAAACAAGGAGAACCCCCACCCATCATTTGTCTAGGTTCATTAGTTTTAGAATCAAATCCAACCCATTTCCCAGCATCTTGAAAACTAGAATGCCAGACTCTTTGTACAAGTCTACGTTTTTCATCTTGATCGATATTTGAACGATAATCACGTTCGGTAAGTGAATTTAACCAAATCGCTAATCTGGTGGCTGTATCTGATTGATGTACGACTCTGATTTGTAGTGTTTTAAGTGATCGGATCAATAGCCAGGTTTCTAATGAACCAGGTAATAATCCTAACTTGGTTCGATCTTGCCATAATTGTCCCCATCGACCGGTTTTAGATTTTTGCACCACTAGAAGTCCAAGGAGAGCGTCTGAATGACCACCAATATACTTCGATCCGCTATGTAAGACGATGTCCGCGCCGAATGCAAATGGGTTAGAGAGTGGTGGTGGAGCGAAAGTGGAGTCCACGAGGAGCTCTGAGCCTAAGGCGCACTCCCTGACCTTGTGCGCATCTATGATATCAAAACATAGAGCCATAAGTCAGTTTTTTGTGGGTACTATCCGACAAGGTTGATCGAATCGAATGGTCTTACAAGAATTGATATCTCTACATTCTCCTGTCGGATTCACTGGTGTCTCAAGCCACACTAAAACTTTCAAGCCAGTCGAGCTTGGAGGATAAGCATCATCCAAATCGATCACTTTCACTTCAACCGAGTTGCGTTCATTCATGCCTCTGAGTTGACAGTATCGTTTGATAGTCTAGTATAAAAGTTTACGATTCAATCAGTATGTAGGCCAAAAAACGCAAAGATAAGTCGAAAGATATGACTTACATCATGACAACCGTGATAACCATCTCGAATCGCAATCACGTCAGGTTGAACATGAAGAAGAGCAGCAAAGGCAGCAGATAGACCGGAGGAGTAAACTAAGACATCGCCATTCTAAATATGAAAGTAAGATAAAGATGATTGTATCAGAAGTGGCTCCAAGTGCAATCGGCTTTACCAAATCTATTGAACTTTGTTTGTTTACTTACCAAAAGTCCTGATAAAACGCTTTCCGCTTTCGCCAAAGTAGGTTGAGAATACCTTAAACCAAAGCTCTCGATCAGTCTCTCTCTTTGTCTCTCGAAGGAAAAGAAAACGAAATCTCAAACCTCTTATAACTATGTAAGTTGATATCATGTTTCACAACTTTTCCGAGTTCATCTTCGAATCGAACAAGTGGAGAATTAGGAGTAGAACTATGACGAGATCGATTTTCTCCTAACCGATTCACAATAGCTAATAAATCACTTGGAGGTTTAGATTTAAAATTGGTAGAGACTGAGATATCAGGTCCGATCGAACGACCAAATGAATTATGACTATGCTCTAATAATAATTCTTCTTCTTCTTCTCCATGTATAGCTCGTGTTAATGGACTAAGAGGTAATAAAGCAGATTGTTTAGGACTGGTCATGATGTAAAGCAATAGTCGGGTATCTAGGATTTCGATTATCAGACCAAGAATTCGAGGACAACGTTTTGTTTTGTTTTGAAATAACTTTTGAGGAGTTGTGGCAAAGGGCTGAATATTTATAGATGAGTCTACCCCTTTGTATTTGCCCCACCTCCGCTTGTGTCATCATTCAGATTTCTTTTGATTTTCCAAAATTTACCCTTTACACCAGGGGGTAAACCTACGGCAAGAAAACGGTTTTTGAAACCGTTTTCTTGCCGTCACGTTTTTAAACTACTTGCGACGTTTCTGGATCGATTTCAGATGGGACCGCAAGAATGCGGTTCCCATCACCGTTTTTGGCGGTGCAAGCAAACCGCCTCGGTGACCCCTCGAACACGGTCCGTGGAACGTTCCGAGTTACGGCGTAGAGTTTGCAAAAAGGGAATCAGGCAGTGGGGCTTGAACACAGGCTCAAAACTGATCAAACACGGGGCAAAGCCCAGTCTTTCACCTCTGCACTATACCAACCACAATAAGAAACCCCGTATCTCACACCATGATGCTTTCGAATCGTACTTCCATTTGTTTCTTTCAACTTTCTTGACTTTGTTCTTGGTTTTTAAGTCTTCAAGGAAATCAATCGCTTCACTTGGCTTTGGTTTTTTGATTTCATTTACACTTTATCTTTTGATCGTTAACTTTAGAAAACAACATCCGCCTCATCATCATCATCTCTTATATTTTTATCTTGAACTCTTAGGTGTTTGTTTCTTTAACCTTGAAGGAAGTTTATGTTTATCAATCTCCATCTTATCATTTACAAACCAATTCCATTCAACTCATTATTTCAAACCGATCTTAATCAGTTTGATGTCTTTAGCATCCACTTTAATCAGTTGTTTTGATCTTCAAATGGCTATCTTAATCTCATTTTCGACCATCTCAAGTTTTTTATCTTTTTTGACTTCAGATTTGATCATGAGTAAAAACTTGGGAATCGGTTTAGCTTGGAGAGACAGTTTGACACCGATCGCAATCGGTGTCAAACAAACCGCTTCACCACCGCCTCTGCAGCCGTTCTCAAACGGTTGCGAGATGCAGCTCGTTCCAGAAGCGGTCGTGGAACGGGGTCCGAAACGGTTTCGGCGAACCCGGTTCCACACCTTCCTGGGCGGTTCTGGTGACGAAACCTTTGAAATCGTCACAGGAACCGGCCGAGGCCGAGGACCATTACCCCCTGGTGTACCCTCTCCCTATTACGTAAGTGTTTGCTTATGCTACATACAGTTGAACAACCTCCAAGTTGATTCAGAAGAACTTGTCATAAAGTCCCCGCCAACTTGCTCGAGTGCGGGCAGAGTTGCCAAGCTTTTGTGAATTCTGAGATCGATCGGCCCAGGGCCAGCATGTATGTACAAGTGAGGGCACGAATACAGTCTGAAAGGCTGGCTATGTTTGCAGGACGAATGCCGGTGAGAAGCTCGGCTTCAAAATCATTCGGAGTCGCGAGGGTGGCTGTTCTCAGTAAAGATTTATAGTGCATCGGTACCTCGGAATCGACACAGAGCTTGCCGCTGTCCTATTTGACATCAACAAAGAGGGACACATTATGAACCGAACAATGGAGGTGTGAGATGGAAAATTACACTGACCCCCATGACTGGATCAACTAGATATACAGCTTGAGGATTGTTCGCCCGGAGTTTCTGCACAAACTCTTCTAAAGCTTCGACACCTTGAGTACCTGGGGTGAAACCTTCGCTTTGTAGGGAAAACATAGCATGATCAACCAATCAATC